GAGTTGAGTAAAGAGTACAGATTGAAGTTCATTTCTTCAAAAGAGTATATCGGGACTATGCATTCCTAAAGAGTAAAATGTTTTTTAAATTTAAACAAGAAAGGAAACTTTGATTTCCAAAAGAGCCTTTGAGCTAGTTTTTAGTAAAAGAGTAAATGCTTTTACAATTAAGCAAGAGAGGAAACTTTGATTTCCAAGAGGAGCCATTGAGCTAAGTTTTGAGAAATTATCTCAATCCACAGAAAGAAATATGTTTTTAAACATAGGATCTAGCATTATATTTTGGGAATAGTATTGAACACTGATATGGGGGAGAGTTCAGACAACTCCCAGCCCCCATAAACCATTTAGCCACCATGGGTAGAAAAGGGTCATACTTTTTAGATGATTTCTTAGTGCTTCTTAGCATAGACTAGTGGATCCACTTAGTAGTCAGGTTATATACCCTCGGCAAGGTATAGAACGGCTTAGACAGTGTGAGGTAAATTACTGTATCATCACAATAGCTCTTAAGTGATGGTTGTCGGTTAGAGAAACTCCCATAGCAATATTTTGTATTTCTATATACATTTCAGAGTTCATGTTGTATCTTTGCATATATTCAGAGTTGCTACTGTATTTCCAAATACACAAAGTTGATACCCATGTTTTAAAAGCTTTTCTTTATATTGCATTTACATTATTGCTTTATATTGAAATGAGTTCAGTTGAGTTGAATTGAGTTAGGACCAGGTTTGTTCTTTCAGTTCCATTCAATCTTATGTCTTATTTTAGTATTCCCCTCGCATGCTCGTACATTCAATGTACTGATGCCATTTGGCCTGTATCTTTTCATGATGCAGATATAGGTAGCAAGGATCAACATCCAGCGCATCGTTGATTCTAGTTGAGGTTCAGAATTGTTGGTGAGCCTCTTTGCTTCCAGAGGATCCCTATTTACATTGCTTTAGTAGTTTTCAATTGTTAGGATGATCGAGGGTCTTGTCCCGACATCCCTCTCAGTTTTAGATGCTTCATAGATAGACAGTCAGTTAGTTCATTTGTCTTTACCTTGATATTGACTTATGTTTTGAGACTTGAGTTTGCCTTATTGGCCAGTTGAATGTTCATTTATAACATTCTAGTTTATTACCTAGACTTGTCTTTTTTGAGTAAAAGTCTTCCGCTGAGTAAGTAAGCCAGGCCAAGGGTTCGCTTGGGGCCAGCAATGTTTCTCGAGTGTCAGTCCTGCCCAGGGTGTAGGCTCGGGGAGTGACAAACTTGGTATCAGAGCCAGAGTTCAAGAGTCCTAGAAAGTCTTTGAAGTTGTGTCAGTAGAGTCCTAGTTATCGATGTGAAGCGCGCCACATCTATAATTAGGAGGCTGCAACACTTGGGAACTATCTCATTTCTTTCATACTCATTTCGTGCGATAGAGTGTATCGCTATAAAAGTGTCTTTCAAACTAGTGCTTGCACGTGTATTCAATGGAAGAAAAACTGAGCTAAGGGTGCACCCCTTGTGAGTTGGGCTTGTTTTGAAGAGGCTTTCTTGGGGTGTTTCTTTCCCCGAGAACTGAGAGAAGCAAAAGTACTAGAGTTTCTCACTCTTAAGCAGGATTCTTTGAGCATTCATGAGTACAGTCTGAAGTTCACACAACTTTCCCACTATGCTCCATAGATGGTTACTGACATGAGGAGCCGGATGAGTTTATTCGTTGTTGTGTTATCTCACCTGTCAGGTAAGAAAGGCAAGGCAGTTATGCTTATAGGGAATATGGACATAGCAAGACTAATGATCCATGTGCAACAAGTTGAGGAGGAGAAGTTGGGGGATAGAGAAGAGTTTAAGAATAAGAGGGCTAAGACATCAGGGAATGAGTCCAGGCAGCAGAAGAGTAATGCGAACCGGTCTTCTTTCCAACATAAACAAAATGGACCTACTCCATCATCTGCTAGTGCACCTGCACCAAAGAACAAAGGTGAGTACAATAGTCAGAAATGCAGAGCTAAACCTGCCTATTCTCAAGGTATTATGACACAAGGGGGTAGTAAGCCCCCTGCGTGTGCTAAGTGTGGTAGGAACCACTCAGGAATGTGTCGTGATGGCTCTACTAGTTGTTTCAACTGTGGCCAGAATGATCATTTTATGCGAGAGTGTCCGAAGAACAAGCAGGGTAACGGTAATGGGGGCAATAGAGCCTTCTTCAGTTGCTCGACCAGAAAGAGCTGCATCTAGAGGAGCTACTGCAGGGGCATGCGAAGGAGGGAACCGTCTATGCTATCACTAGTTGGCAAGAGCAAGAGGATTCAATAGATGTTGTCACTGGTATGATTTAAGTCTTTAACTTTAATGTTTAAGCTTTGCTAGATCCAGGAGGGAGTTTATCCTTTATAACTCCTTATGTTTGTTGACAACCCATTTTGGCTCTCCACATTTAACTATAATAACAATAATAACAATAATAACAATAATAACAATAATACAATAACAAAAATAATAACAATAATAAAAATAACAATAACAATAACAATAACAATAACAATAACAATAACAATAACAATAACAATAACAATAACAATAACAATAACAATAACAATAACAATAACAATAACAATAACAATAACAATAACAATAATAACAATAATAATAATAATACTAATAATACTAATAATACTAATAATTATAATAATAATAAAGATGACCGCGCGGACTACTGCTCGTCTTCTGAGATGTTACTTTTACTTGAATTTGGTAAACCAAACTGAGTGCAGAAATCACATAACTGAGATGAATAGTTGCTGAAAACTCCGTCAAGAATAATAATAATAATAATAATCGTCGTCGTCGTCATCGTCATCATCATCATCATCATCATCATCATCATCATAATAATAATAATAATAATAATAATAATAATAATAATAATAATAATAAATATATATATATGTTTTGAAATTTTTATAGGAATACGAAAAGATTCTTAATTATTTATTTACTTGATAAATTTATTTCATAAGTGTTATTTCATATAAAAACTAAATATATTATATTACTACTTACTTTCTCATTTTTTAAATAAGTGTCATTTTTAAGAATTGAATCTATTTTTGTTCAAATATAAATTTTTTTGTCGCAATAGATATTTTGCGTACATTGTTTAAAATTAGAAAGCATAATTAATTAATGAGTTACTAATTTATATTTAATTTAATTTTAAGAGTGACTAGTTTTATCAAATAAGCTAATCTTGCAAAATAATTATTTTTACTTTAATAAATTATGCCTATTTAATAAAGAAGAGATTATAATTTAAATGAATTTAAATTGAGAAATTTTGGAAATCCAAGTCCCGTTAAACCGGCCAATCCGTGTGTGTCACATAGGCGAGCACATGGATTGTGCTTCTTCACTTTTAATCTCAACCCTCTGTTTTAATCCAATGGCTTTAAATTCATCTTTTAATATATAATTATCATATATATATATATATATATATATATATTATTAACCTTTTTTTTTAACCTTTGATTTTTATTAACCGTATGATCAAACGATCGGACGGCCGAAATTAAACCCAAGACTTTTCAGCATAGACTCCTACGCTGCCCTTACTCTGTTTCAGCATAGACATCACGTTCTTCTTCCCATCACGCCGCCCACCTTCTCTCCCTCAGACTACTCGCTAGCTAGCTTTTTCCATAGACGCCAGAATGTCCTCTCCAATGACCGCCCCACGTGATCCCCCACCCCCTTTTTCAGAGAACCGGCTCTGCGTTGCTGGAAAAGTAGCCCATTTGTCACTCAGTCTCTCAAATCGACCTGAAAATGTCGATTTTTGAGAGATTTTTTCAGCTCCTTCATGATTTCTTTGTTTCTTCCTCTAAGATTGGCGTTTTCAAGAATTCAAATTTTGAATTCTTGGGGCCCAAATCGACAATAAAATGAGGACTTCGGTTCTCAGTCGAGATCATCGATCAACATCCAGAAACGATCGGGAAATCCAACAAAAATCCAAGGAATCCAGCAAGGGTTCGAAAATCATCTAGCACTAGAGAGAGCGCGACAAATTTTAAGGTTATCTTTTGTTCTCTGTTTTCATTTTTTATTTCTTTTCGAGTTGAAGAGGGAGTTTGGAGTGTAAGTATCTTGACGTCAAAACTCTAGTTTGCTGCTCCAAAGAAGGTAATTTTTTTTCTCTCTCTGTGTTTTTTTTTATAGTTTGTGTTTCTTGTAATGTTCTGAATGTGGCTGATCTAATCATTCTATGCTTGGGCTAATTGATTTTTGTACTTCTTCCTACTTCTGTCTTGTGTGGAGATTTGTTAGGAATCTCATGCATTAATAGTTGTCAAAAGCTTGGCTCGTATGTGTTGTTGAAATACATGCAGGAACATGTGGACCTCACATGAATGGGTTCGCTTTAGCAAAGAAGATTTTAAGAGCTAGATATTTTTGGATGACCATGGAGAGAGATAGCATCCGGTATGTGAAAAGTGGCATCAGTGTCAAGTGCATGGAGATTTTATACGGGGTTCCACCGAATGAGGTCAATGTGATGGGTTCCCCCTTGGCTATTTGTCGCTTGGGGTATGGATGTTATTGGACCCATAGAGCCTCCCGCGTCAAATGGACATCGTTTCATCCTGGTGGCTATCGATTATTTCACAAAATGGTTCAAAGCTTTGACATACAAGGCAGTGACTAAGAAGGTAGTGGCAGACTTTGTTTGCAATAACATAGTTTGTCGGTTTGGAATTCCAAAATCAATCGTAACAGATAACGCGGCCAACCTCAACAACGATCTTATGAAGGAAACTTGTGAAAGGTTCAAGATTACTCATCAAAATTCCATGGTTTATCGCCCACAGATGAATGGAGCAGTTGAGGCTGCAAATAAGAATATCAAGAAGATTTTAAGGAAAATAGTGGACAGTCATAGGCAATGGCATGAGAAGCTACCATATGCTTTGCTCGGTTATCGCACCACAATCAGAACGTCAACTGGGGCAACTCCTTAGATGTTGGTTTATAGTTCGGAGGAAGTAATACCTGCCGAGGTGGAAATACCATCTTTAAGGATTATCCAAGAGTTTGGTCTGGACGATGCAGAATGGATACGTAGCAGGCATGAACAATTGATGCTCATCGATGAAAAGAGGATGGACGTGGTTTGTCATGGACAACTCTATCAGAACAGAATGACCAAATCATTCAACAAGAAAGTCAAACCTCGACAGTTCACATCGGGGCAATTAGAATTGAAGAAGATCTTTCCTCACCAAAGAAAAGCCAAAGAGAAATTTGCACCAAACTGGCGAGGACCCTACATGGTTCATAGAGTACTCTCTGGAGGAGCAGTGATCTTAGCAGAAATGGACGGAAGAGTGAGCACAAAGCCAATCAATTCAGATGCCATCAAGAAATACTATATTTGAAGACCTCAAGATTAGTGTGCATTTCTCGTACTTTTGCATTTTTCAATGTAACAAAATTACGTCTAGACATGACTTCCCACAGCGGGGTACGTAGGCAACCTATATCAGATCCGGTCTCCCTTAGAAAACCCAAAATCATCATTTCCATGTATTTAGAACTACTCTCGACCTGAATTCCCTGGTGGGATACGTAGGCAATCCTTGTCGGATTCGGTCCCTTGCATTTCATACTTTTCACTTTCATTTTGTATTTGAACTACGTCCTGACCTGATTCCATTTGGATACGTAGGCAGCCTGAGTCAGGCCCGGTCATTGCATGTCATATTTTTCACTCTCCCCTGTTGTATTTGAACTACGTCCTAACCTGATTCCGCTTGGATACGTAGGCAGCTTGAGTCAAGCTCGGTCATTGCATTACATACTTCTATTTCTCCCACTTGTATTCGAATTACATTATGATCTGATTCCTACTTTGGGGATACGTAGGCAGCCTGAGTCAGGCCCGGTCATTGCATGTCATATTTTTCACTCTCCCCTGTTGTATTTGAACTACGTCCTAACCTGATTCCGCTTGGATACGTAGGCAGCTTGAGTCAAGCTCGGTCATTGCATTACATACTTCTATTTCTCCCACTTGTATTCGAATTACATTATGATCTGATTCCTACTTTGGGGATACGTAGGCAGCCTGAGTCAGGCTCGATCAATGCACTGCATAATTTCCATTTTTTTTCTTACCCTTAGGAAACAGTTCCTCATAGTTAGCATAACCCCAGATTATGAAGAATCTCGATCGTCGCAGTGTCTACAAAAGAGCTAGAGAAGCTTCATCATGATGGTAAAAGCTACAAGAAGACTATGTTAGATATAGTCAACAAAATGGAAAGCTCGATGGACTTCGGAACATGTCATAATCTAAAAAACGCTGGAGAATTACTACATATATATACCTGATATATAAGTAATACACTTATTTTCTAGAGAAAAAAACAAGCTAATTCTTTTGAAAAGATTTTTCTACTCATCCACCTACCAAGTCTCTATGTTAAGAAACTATGTGCAGGCTAAGAAGAAGTTGAAAGATTCCAGTGACGAGGCTTTAGATCGCAAGTCGATACAAATCAACATCCCTTCCCAAACTAAATATTTTCTATGAGCACAGGAACACAGGAATCAAGAAAATAACATCAAGCCTCGGGGTACGATTGGAGGCACCATTCGACTACTATAATCATGAGCCAAAATACTATTTTCCTACTTTATTTCCCGAATGTACTTCAACTAGCATCTTATATCTAAAAATATTTCATTTAAATCTTTGCAGGTACGCTCAAGATCTAGACCAAATACTGAAGAGAGGGGCCCTGCGTCGGAAAATAGAATAGTTAGCTATCTGTCAAAATAACTCCACCAATTGGAGACTGTACATAGCAAACATCGTCAAACTCCGCCAACCCGAGGCTGTACATAGCAAATGTCACTCAAACTCCGCCAACCGAAGACTGTACATAGCAAACATCGTCAAACTCCGCTAACCGGAGGCTGTACATAGCAAACATCAATCGAATTCCACCAATCGAAGCCTGTATATAAGCAAAAGAAGCAACACTCCGCCAATCGGAGACTAACATCGTAGCGACGTCACCGAAACTCCACCGATCGGGGAAATGGAAGAATAGCGACGTTCTCATACGCTAACAATAATATGTTACATTACAAGCTTTACACAGCCGGATACATTACAACAGCCCCGCCAGTCGAGGGCCTTTACATTACAAGTTACTTTACTTACATCACATTCACAACACAAAAAAAGGGGACATCAACAATCGTTTGAACATCTATACTCTATTCTTTACATTACTATTTCAATTTATAATTTTGAACCGCAACAGGTACTTTTCATTCTTTTACATATTTTGCAGGACAACGCATTACAATGAGGAACTCCTTTTAAACAGCAAACTAGGGCAAGTTAGTGCAATGTCAAGCATCACTAGCTATGTCAAGGAATCACTTTTGAAACTCAACTCAGCTCGATTTTCAGAAATTTTGATTTAAATCTTACTTATAAATCTCTCAGGTCTCAGTTCATTATTACTCGACCCTGGGGCATTCTTTTTAAAATTCATCTATCTACCATGAGTCTTCAGTAGAAATTGCTTCGGAGCATTTCTCGTTCAAGTTTCTTAAGAAGTGTATCCCATCCCTCGATTCATGCTAATCTCTTCATACCTCACCATCAAAAGATTGTAGTATTACCATGATTTGATACTGGCGCAAATTTTAATAAAATTTGCTATGTTCCTACACTCTCGAACTACATATGGCCCGATTTCTCATGAAGCCTGAGATATGTAGGCAACTCAGAAGCCAAAGTTCGGCCATAACTCCATAAACATTCTTGCCAAGTTATTGCTCAAAGTGTATTTTGGTGGGTCGCCTAAAATTGGATTGTGTCAAATTTCTTTATAATAATAATAATAATAATAATAATAATAATAATAATAATAATAATAATAATAATAATAATAATAATAATAATAATAATAATAATAATAATAATAATAATAATAATAATAATAATAATAATAATAATAATAATAATAATAATAATAATAATAATAATAATAATAATAACAATAATAAAATATATATATATATATATGTTTTGAAATTTTTATAGGAATATGAAAAGATTCTTAATTATTTATTTTTCCTGATAAATTTATTTCATAAATGTTATTTCTTACAAAATGAGAAAATGGTCAAATTCCCCCTTAATCTATTACCAAATTCTCAACTACACACTTATATTTTATGGGAGTTCTATTACCCCCTTGGACTAATTTAAAGCGAAATATATACCACCCTAAAACTAGAGAACTGTGTGTGCCACGTAGGCGAGCACATGGATTGTGCTTCTTAACTTTTAATCTCAACTCTCTATTTTAATCCAACGGCTTTAATTAATTCATATTTTTAATATATAAATATTATCTATATATATATATATGTATTAATAATATTTTTTTTAACCCTTGATTTTTATTAACCGTCCGATCAAACGATCGGACGACCTAAATTAAACCCAAGTCTTTTCAGCATAGACTCCTACATTGCCCTTACTCTGTTTCAGCATAGACATCACGCTCTTCTTTCCATCACGCCGCCCACCTTCTCTCTCAGACTACTCGCTAGCTAGCTTTTTCCATAGACGCCAGAACGTCCTCTCCCATCACCACCTCACGTGATCCCCCACCCCTTATTTCAGAGAATCGACTCTGTGTCGCCAGAAAAATTCCCCATCAGTCACTCAGTCTCTCAAATCGACTTGAAAAGGTCAATTTTTGAGAGGTTTTTTCGGCTCCTTCATGATTTCTTTGTTTCTTCCTCTAAGATTGGCGTTTCCAAGAATTCAAATTTTGAATTCTTGGAGCCCTAATCGACTATAAAATGAGGACTTGTTCTCATTCGATATCATCGATCAACATCCGGAAACGATCGGGAAATCCAACAAAAATTCAAGGAATCCAGTAAGGGTTCGAAAATCATCCAGCAATAGAGAGAGCGCAACAAATTTTAAGGTTATCTTTTGTTCTCTGTTTTTATTTTTTATTTCTTTTCGAGTTGAAGAGGGAGTTTGGAATGGAAGTATCTTGACGTCAAAGCTCTAGTTTGCTGCTCCAAAGAAGGTAATATTTTTTCTCTCTTTGTGTTTTTATTTATAGTTTGTGTTTCCTGTAATGTTCTGTATGTGGCTGATCTAATCATTCTAACCTTGGGCTGATTGATTTCTTTACGTCTTCCTACTTCCATTTTGTGTGGAGATTTGTTGGGAATTTCATGCATTAATAGTAGTCAAAAGCTTGGCTCGTATGTGTTGTTGAATATGTTGATAGTACATGGATTCCAACTTGTTCACTAATGCGTTCTAATCTTGTCGAGTTGATCGCTGAATCTGTTAACTCTAACTTTTTTGGGAGCAAAAAGTTTAAATTACCTTTGCTAATGTTTGGCAGTCAGGTTCAACTTCAATAGCTTTGTTGTAAGACTCATCTAAAGATTGTCTTGACTAGAGTTTTTTTTTTTTAACTCTTTGGTATATAGTTGCTCTGTCCCGATTCGATTTAGAATATGTTAGCTCCTTAAATTTTTGCCCTTCCATTTTGTTCAACGTATGTGTTAAGTAATAAAGAATCAGTTGATCCATTCTAGACTCCTTTATAATTTCTTATTGTTCAAGAATGACGTATTTTGGTTCATAAAAATTGATGAAGTCTAAACACAAAAGTGATCTCATATTTATGCATTAGTTCCCTGTTGAAAACCTTGACTTCAAGTTACCTGTTTCCTTTAGTTTAGCATCGTAGCTCATCGTAGCTTCACTTATGAAACTAGAAGCTGTCATTGATCGTTAGTATTATTAAAACAAAATCTTAAAGTTTAGATTTAAATTATTACCTTCTATTATAGTTCAAATTTAGTCCACGTCTTTCTTTAAACCCCCTCGCATTTGCTCGCATATAAGAAGGCTTAGCGGTAACTGGTTATTATGATCAAGTCATGGTGTAATAACTTAATAAGTTAGATTCATATTCTACTTCCTGTTTTTAAGATAGTTGTATCTCATCTTTGACTAAGTGATTCAGTGTGATTCTCTATTCTTTCAGTTCTCTGTTTCAATTTTCAAAGCGAGCCAATGATATCTTTTCGTGATCTGCCTAAATTGATAAACACGAATGTATGTATCTGTTAATTTAGCTTGAGCATGTTGTGGAAATATATGGCATGAGAGGTCAAGCACTAGGAACATATGATCACTTCTCTGGTTTGATATCACCTTCCTATGGAGACTCTCTATAACTTTCCTTTTGAAATGACAAATGATAACTTCTTATCTTGCCACAAATTCTTCTTTTTTCCCATAGTTATTAGTTAAGTTGGTTTAAATTTGGAATTCTCTCAAACGATTCCTATAAGTATACCTTGTGTGATT